ATTAACCAAAAACCATATTTCTGCTTATAAGTAAACTAGCAAATAAGTAATCTTTTTAAGCTTAGCAACACGTACATTAATCTAATTGATGTTAAAGTTTCTAGCAACAACCGAGCTGCAGTGCCAGGGAGGGTGTCATCGGGGGGAGTGAGACATTTTTTTTCATTTTTTATTTCATGCGGGTCCCACGTCGGTCCCACGCTCATGTGAGGTTAGGTCAACCAGGTGGACAAATTAATTCGGACAAACTAGCTTAATTCTTCTAGCAATTCTGGCTAATGTACATACAATGATACATGTCAATTGTGATATATAACATTCGAATTGATCGGTCAAAAACATTTAGAAGTAAACACAAACCCAGTTGGAAACAAACTTCGCTCTGAGCCTCTGATATCTTAAGGGAAGATTATTTGTTCGACAATGTCGGGGGTAATTCCGGGGCTCTTTCCTTCGAGGAATCAAGGAGAACTAGAGATGCGCAGGTGCAATTTTAGTTGCAATCGAGAATTGTCATGCTCCTTGAGTCCTTGGTGATCCTGAAAAAAATGTGAAAATGCGCGACTTTGATACAACAGTTTTACAAGCATGAGGGTGCATTTTGGGTTAAAGACGTTACCATCAAATCTCAACAGGGTCGTTAAAAAACAAGCCACCATTCTAAAATGTTGAAGTCATGACATTTTTAATTTTTTAAGGGTTGAATACATATGCCGGGCCATGCCAAGCATCGAGTCAGAGACAGATATAACAAGGTTACCGTAGTGTTAGAGTAACATGATTATCGTTTAGAAACAAGACTAATTAATCTTCTAGTCCATTGCATAAATGCTTTACGTACTTCCAATTCAATGAAAAGCCTGTCGAAGATCATCTCCCATACTAATGCGGATTTCACTAAAAAGGTTGCCACATAAGTTAAAATAGACTGTGTCTACAAAAGTTTCTATCCAAGAAAAATGCTAAACGACCCGCTCCGGTGACTGAGGGGATGACCGCACAATCACAGCCGAGGCGCGGGTCCCATGTGAATAAAATAATCCCGACCCCCCATGTGCGTGCGTGCGGTTATCCCCGCGGGCACTGTAGCACGACTCTTCTATCCAATGCAATGTGTCTGGAACTATTTGAAGTTGATGTGACAAGACAAAAAGTAAACATTGTTAAGAGGACTACCTAGATGTAGATGCTCTTTAAGTCGCCATTATGTGTACCATGTAGCATAACCCAATTCTCATTAGAAATGGAATTTGAATTATAGATAGAATCCATTGGAGTAGAGGTGTCAATCCGGGTGGTCTGAACCGGGTCGGCCCGCCAACATATGAGCCCGGAAACAGCCCGCTTGAAAAAAAGTCCACCCGCTACAGGTTCCGGACCGATTCCGGGCCGGCCTACAAATTTTGGACTATAATCCAAACCCGCACCGCTGATCCATCCGGGTCGAGCCCATAAGGGTCATGGGTCGCGCGGGTCGCGGTTTGTTCTGATTTGACCCGTATTATTGTAGAAATAAAATTATAAAAAT